CTGCAGGTTTTCCTATGCCCCGTCATGATTCATGATCTTTCTCACATACAGATTGTGAATTATGTAACATATAATGTACACTGTTACACTAACATTATAATTTCTAACTAAACTAACTAATAAATTAATACAAATATAATTTTAAAAGTCCTTTAGGCCTTTGAAAATATGTCCAATGAAACGTTTGTAAAATATGTTGACTAAAATAATTCCATCAGGTTGTACAGACATTAGGTATTTTTTCGAAGCAGGAGAGATTGAAAAATTAGCAACGCCTTGCGCGGGAATCGAACTGTGGACCTCTGGAATACGCGCCCAGATTGCAGACCACCACACCACGAAGGCATGCTAAGAAGGCGAGTGAAATACCTTATAAGGTAAACTTTTAAATACTTTCATAAGTTCACAAAGTCTTTCAAAGTAAATGTTCACCAAAAAGTGTTTCAAATTCTGCTTGAGGAAAATACACTCATGTCCATAAATTAAGGATAATGCAAAATCAGGGAAAGGAAGAGTTAGAAGCAAAACAAATTGACTTATTTGTAAAGCTTATTTATTAAACAAAAGGTAAAGAGAAAAAAAGATGCTATGTGTTTGATATTATTAAAAAAATTAGCGATTTTTTCTCCCTGGAGCAAATTACAAAAAAACCTATTTACAAAAAAACAATATTACATGGTTGGTATGATTGTTAATACATTGCATGTCTCCCAGTTGATGCAATACAGTCCGTACAACGCCTAGGCATGCTGAGTATCAAACTATCGATTTGATCTTAGGGGATATTACACCACTGAAAAAGTAGTGCTCTCCAAAGTTCCGGTAGACATGTAGGAGGAGGTTGACGGGCTGCAACTCGTCGGCCAAGCATGTCCCACACGTGGTTTACTGGATTCAAGTCCGGTGAGAATGCTGGCCAGTCCATACGGGTGATATCCTCTGATTGAAAGCATTCGCTTACGATGTTTGCATGGTGAGGACGGGCGTTGTCATCCATAAACACAAATTGTGCGCCCATGGCGCCCCAAAACAAACGCACATGTTGTTTCAGAATGACGTCCCGATAGATTTGGCTTGTCATGGTTCCAATTTGAACATGCAGCTCAGTTCTGGAACACAGCATAATTCCACCACAAACAAGCACTCCTGCACCACCGTAACGGTGTCGTTCAATGATATTTTCTTGGTGGTAACGGGTCTCCATATGAAAGTCCGGCGAGAATCAGACTGCAAGCTAAACCTGGACTCGCCGGAAAAAAATCACACAAGCCCACTGTTGCGGTGTCCACAATGCATGCTCTCTACTCCAGGCTAACCGCAGGCGACAGTCAGTTGCAGTAAGTGGAACGCATCTGACAGGTCTACAAGCATATAGACCAATCTGCCCTAAGCGTCTGTACACGGTCTGCCTTGAAATTGTCGTACCAGTGGCTGAAAAGAGCTGACGAGACAGATCTGAGGCTGTGCTCCGCCTGTTCTTTTGGAAGTAACTGCCAAATACCGGTCCTCATTCGGCGGTGTAACTCTGGGGCTACCTGTGCTGTAAAGTCTACTCACATTACCATCATCTTGGAATCGTTACCAAAGCCTGGAGATGACACTCTGAGCAATTCCAAGTTCGTCTGATACTTCCAGTTGGGTACACCCACATTCCAGACGGCCGATAATTCTACCACGTAAAAAATCATCCAAATGCGTCCTTTGTGTCATAAATATTCGGTTATTGCACTGAAATGCTTATAGAGCGCCTGCGAACAATTTTACTTCTTTGCCTGTATTCCTTATATATCACTCTCTTACACTCTCGTCATTGTGACATACCATCGGTGTCATCTGGTTACTTCCTGAAATTTGCATATGAATCTTGAAGATGTGTGTAGTGATTTTACAGGTGATATATTTATTTTAGAGTTCGATTTCCGCGGTAACTTCGAATTATCCTTAATTTATGGACATGAGTGTATTTCCATTATAATACAGATTGCGTTGTCAGTTTTCATATAGAAATATAATACTCAATTTTATGATTAATGTAAAAAATTCTTCTTGTGGGTACACATACATAATAGAACAGAGAATTCAATATAAAAATATAATAATGTGATGCAATACTAAATAATACAATAATACTTTGACGATTAATTTGGCATGTCCTCTCCAACAGAATCAGTCTACCATCTTGATGATGGTTGGGGGGGGTTGCTTAAGAAAATATATAAAAAATCCTCTGTTCCTTAGAAAAGGTAACTGGTTTTTGGCATTGTACATTTGCCAAAGTTTTCTGTCTCAAAAATGTTTCATATTACTCAATAATAATACAACATTATACAAAATTAGGACTGAAATTTAAGACTAATAACTTGTATAGTAAAGTTAAAGTCTTTTTAAATTGTGTAAAAAATATAATTAAGATATTACCCTACAATAAGAAGGAAGACAAGAAAAATTTTGTTTTAAAATTACGTAAAATGTATGTGTGTGTGTGTGTGTGGTAGCACTTCTGTGCTAAACTATGATCAGAGGATCGTGACTTGTAAAGACCCAAGTCAGTCTCATGGCCACAGTTGAATCTCCTAACAAATAAAAGAAGAACAATTTTAGGGGACGTTAGGAGTGTTCCTAGGGGGACAGCAGGCGTGCGTTATCACTTCTTGTATCCTCCCTAAAGAGAGAATGCAAGGAGTAATGCACATAGTGCGAAACCTAGAGTAGGAAAAAGAAATAAAAACACTCGTCTTCGAATGAAAATATATGGTATTGAATTCAGATTTTTCAAAATGTAGTGGTAGAGGTTTTCCTCTTCCCATCTTCTGGGCTATAATGAAATATGACAAATTTCTATATACATTGGTTTTTTAAAAGAAATGATGTAGTCATGTTAAAGAAGCGAAACGGAGAGATATTAGCAATGTAGAAGCTAGCAGAAGAATGATATAATTAGCTTACCAGAGGTGTTTATATCAAAATAGGTGCGATTCTAGAGACTAGCTATGATTGGTTAATATTAAATTTAGTTGCCCTTTTTGCCCTTTTCATGTACCGTTGCATAACATAGAAAAATCGTCGCCAATTATTTTTAAAGCAGATATCGTATTTATTTATATCTCATAGGTATATAATGTTACGGCCGATTGCAAATAAAAAAGGAGGTGCACAAGTAGATATTATAACAGTCCCATTTTGAGGAATTCAATGTTCCACGGCTCATCGGTTTTGAGTTATGGAAGGTACATGCATGCGTACGTATGTAGAGACGTCACGAAGAAAATCCTTTTCGAATCCATTCTAAATTCATTTACAATCCGTTTTGAAAACAAATATCCTTTATTCTGCCTGTACGTACAAATGTCACGGTAAAACGATCGCAAAAAGCATTATGGAGAGGTTATTTGACCTCCGCAATTCCAAAATCTCCTTTACGTAGTATAAGGAAGTAATAAATGTATTTAAACGTATTGCTGAGCATATCAAATTAGCATATTTTAAATTATAAGCTTCCAGCAATCTATGTATTGATATATTACTAAATTTTCTGGATAATTTCTTATTCATTGGGTTATTGGAATTCCTCAATGGTTTTAAATTGATGTTTTGAAAAATATTTAGTTATTAAATTATCAGCATAGTTACAAAAACGCTGAAGTGATTAAAACAGTTAAGAGAGTTTCTGAATATTTAAGCGAAGCGTAACTAAGTATTAAATTCACGGAGATGCAATGGCCACGTAAATTATTATACACGCAAATGCAATGGCTGAAGAGATGATGATAATTACTATGGAATAATTGCTTGTGAGTCTATGTTTAGCATAAAATATCTGAGAGTAACGTAAATTATGAATGACGGTGTAAAATAAAATTTGAAGAAAAACATTAGCATGTTGAGGTTATTTGATATTTTATACAGTTATTTATAATTTACGTTACTCTCTGATATAAATTTACAGAATTAGGTTGAGATATTCCTAAGCAATATGAAAAATCGTATCAGCGGTTTTCTTTCTTTCGTTCTTTATAATTATATACATAATGTCAGAAAAGTCAGTATAATTTCAGAAATTCTTGTAAACCATTTGGGGATGCCAGTTCTAATCTCTCGATTTCTATTGTCTTGTCTATGTAATTCCTTGAATAATGGTTGCCAGAGCCTCAGCTTCCAGCCCAATTTTGAGGGAGAGCACCTCCGGGATTTCCGAGGGTCTCCTACCACCAAAACCATACGACAAGACTTTCGACTCGCCATATATTTAGAATATCCCGTGCCACAAAGACACTACATATTTACAAACATCCATTTCTTCTCCGCGACTCGAACCCAGGCCCTTCCGTACCACAGTAGGCTTCCCTAACCCCTATACCATTTGGGCGCCCTCTCGTTTCCTATCTTACAAATATGTTAAATATGTGTTAATTCTGGAAATTTTAGTTTAAATAGTATGCTACATAAACTTTTATTAAAAAAACAAAGGCTGTTAGTAGTATTTATATTCTGTTAAGCTTTCCGGAACTTATTAAATATTAGAAAGTGCTGTTTCCAATATATCCGAGTTCTTGGTCTTAATAAAAATTATTTAAGTCTTTCTCGAATTTTACTGAATACATTAAAAAACATTTCAAATTCATAGGACTTTATTGAACACACTCGTACGTGTTGCTTTAAATGCATTCAATCTTTGTGGTCTTATTAAAAATATTATAATTTTGTACTCCGGTGGAATTGGAATCAATATTTGTCACTATGTTTAACAAAGTCCCTCTAAGTTTTTAGTAGTTTTTAATAAAAACACAGGACTTGGACGCTTTGGAAATAATCATTTATAGTGTGGTCAATGAAGCTCCTAACAGCCGACTGCAGCAAACATGCGAGCTTCTTTAAAGAAACACATCCAGAATAACAGAAATTACCGTTATATAATCTGTACCTCTATCTCTTAACAAAATTAAATTTTTTTCAGTGTAATGATGTGAATCAACCGACAAAGCGCTATTTATATTCTACAGGTTCACATCGACGACTGCTAGTGTAGGTTTGAATCTCTACTCTTTCGAGCTGGAGGGCGATCTCTACCTCAACCTCTTCATGACGGCGGGAGCAGAAGTGGCGGCGGCGGCAGTTATCGTGGTAGCGGTGGGGCGATGCGGGCGGCGGTGTTCCTTTTGTCTCAGTTCTGCCTTGGGAGGGGCACTTACCTTATCCATCGCCACCACACAGACAGGTACGTTTTATCTATTAATTGGCATTAAGAACTCATAATAATAATCATAATCATAGTTATAAAATGCATCCTTCACAAAAATTTTGGGCTCATTCCACCAGGGTTTTACTTTTGGGTTGATATAAAATATTGATGAACTACAGCCTTTATAAAAGGCACTACGCGCTTAGAATTATTGTACAGATATTTGATCCAATTCTCATATCTGAAGTGCGGCTTGTAGCATGTGAATTAATGACAAGACAACAGGTATAAGTCAAAAATTACTTTTCTTGCTGCTGTAACAGTGTAAAAATGGTCTCACCACCAGAAAGTGCACCACATAAGAAAAAAGGTAGAAAACTGTTTCTCTGGTAGGAAGAAGAGTCAAAGACTGAAATTAAACACAGGCTGATAATATAATATGGGAACAATACTTTGAAAGAAAATCTTGAATATGAATGAAGAGATGTGACGCACAAAAATGGAGCAAGACACCTGCCAGCCTCCGCCAATGATGTGAAAATTCGGGTTTGGTTTGGTTTGGTTTAGTTCATTACGGCAAGGAGCACGAGCACTATCTGCCTAAGGGGAGGGATTTCTAGGTGAAAGAGGTTTTAAGGGAAATTGTTTCTTACACATGGGGAAAACTATGTAAACACCCATGCAGCCAGCCCGTTCGCCGATATTTAGACCCCAGACCGAACTACCAGTGTTCAGCGACTTTACTACTCAGCCGCTGATGGGCCTCGTGAAAACTCAGGAAGCTCATGAAATAGGGTTGGCAGAAGGTTAAGTTACCATCGGTGATAGAGCTTATCATCTGCAGATCAAACATGATTTAGCCTTTATTGCGGATCGATGATCAGCTCGGCTTCCACAAATTCTTTGCAAAATGGGTACCAAGATAACTTACCGTAAACAATAAACTTTTATCATACTTACCTTCTGGATTTCGAAATACTGTAACATCTTATGCACAGCCCAAAAATCGAGTTTCCTCTACTATCATCTCTTTTAGGTTGTACAAAAAACGCATTACAAGATCGATATTTTTTTTTTCGGACAAAGAAAATGTGGGATACGTTGTCTCATAAGTATTTGCGCCACCAAACGAAAACCTTCTTCTTTAAGAGAATATGCAAGTTTGTGGACCTATACGTACGATATGTAGAAACATAAGGTAAATACTCAACACATACTTCCGTAATAATGACTGAGCATACGACGAATACGGATATTTTTTACACTGCTGGCCATTAAAATTGCGACACCATGAAGGAAAGCAACTACGAAAAGGATATCTATTGCGTTCATGCCATATTGTTATATATAAACAATATGGCATGAACGCAAAATTATTAAATTCGTAAGCACTTTGGCGGTTTACAGGGGTGCGAAATTAGTAGAAACCGCTGCCACTCTATTAAGCATGCAGTCAAACTGGGCTTGTATGACATAAATAGGCCTCATTCCATCCTGATTCAAGTCTGTGCCGCACTTCATCAACCGTAGTAACTGGAGAGCCCTGGCGGGCCAGTCTCTCAGCAACCCACGGGAAGATGGTTTCAATGGTACGTCTAGTGACCGTGCAAGCCAGGGCAGCAATCGAATACCCTGTATGTCGAGGAAGGTCAGAACACTGCGTGCAACATGTGTTGGAACATGGCGTTTGGTGGCCTCGAAGATAGGGCACAACGACTGTACGTAAGATATCAGAAATATACCCATCTTCTTTCAAATTACCGTCGATCCGAACTAGAGATGCGCGTGTCGTGTACCTAATGGCTGCCTAAACCATCGCGCTAGGTGCAGGGACCCTATGCCGATATCGAATACGCGCAGGCGATATGAGGTCTTCTCGGACACTCCAGACGCGTGTACAGCCATCGGAATACAGCACGTATAACTGGGACTCATTTGAAAGGGTGACATTGTGCCACCTCTGTATCCAGATTTGTCGTCTGGCGTACCAAATTCGTCATCTCTCTGTATGATGCCTTGTCAAGGGAAGCCGAAGTAATGGTCACCTTGCTGATAGTCCACTCTGTTTCAAACGTCGACACACCTTAAGAGCTGATACTGGGTGCTGCAAACATGCCCATTTCCTGACTAATGGTCCCTGATGTGGTCTTACGAATTTGCAGGGTTCACCTCACAACATGTTTATCCTCTCTGGCATAATTCATATGAGGGCGTTTAGATCATACATACCGTTTAGTATGACCCTCAGCAATCCATCGATTCTATATTCGCCTAACAGTGGTTGGATGTCGGCCAGTGCGAATGGCGATATCATGAAAGGATAATCTACACTTTGGATAGGCAAGAATTCTGCGTCTATCAAATTTCGAAATTTACTGGTAAGCATTTCCTCTTATTCGAGGCATAACACGATATTCTGAGCAAACTCCAACCTTGCAAAGCACTTTCCGAATAAGAAATCCACTACACAATTTTTCTTTTATGTAGTGGCTTGTGGTTTCTTCGTCCTGCGTAGACTAAATGCGCTGAAATACTAATCATTTGCATATTCCAACTTTTTCCTTTTCTGTGATTTTGACGTTCATCAGATCATTCCTTCTTGGTGTTGCAATTTTAATGGCCAGCAGTTTGTTTTACTTCATATGTTTCAGCGTATTTTCTCATGCAATTTACTTGAAATACTATACGTTCTAATTTTTGAAATATTTCTCTCTAATAAATCTACAAACTTAAAGTGACTAGCTTAGTATTTCAATGATTTCCAGTTTACAAATAGTAGTATGCCATTTAACGCCTTGCTTGAGAGCAAAATACAAACATACCATTTATTGAAACCTTCTTAAGATGAACACTCATAGATGACGTGGACCTTCTTTCAAAATGTTCACGACAGAAAAGTTGTGCTGTTTCCTCATGCCCCATTAAATCTTTAGAAAAACTGACCATTATCAGACTATTCATATAAAATACACCGTTTATCATTAATAAAGGGAAAATTACAAAAATGACGATTGCACAAACGTTGTAATGTGGAATTTAATGAAACTGACAGTCTATAACACATTATAACGTATGAAATAACATGGAAAGAAATTACCATACAATTGTGGTGTTATAGAAATTAGCATATGTATAAAATGAACAAACCGGATGTGTCAGTTTTGTATTGAAAAATGTCCTTCAATATAGATTATCAGCTCGCCTAGAAGCAGTACAACACATACAGAGATGTGTGATGCTCTCAATTATGTAGTGTATGAGTTCCATAAAATGATAGTCATTGCTCTTGCAAAGTAGTTGCAAGCGTGGAAGAGGTCTGTAGGGAAGGCCTGAGAGCAGCTATACGTCTTCCTAAAGCATCCCAGACATGCTGGATAAGATTCAGATTCGGTGATCGAGCTACCCATTATATGCGCTGAATTGTTAGCTGCTGATTATATTCATCCGCGATGCGAAACCTGTGCTGTCTAGCGTTCTCGTCCTCTAGAACAAAATCGTGACCTATTGTCCCAGCATAAGGGCGCACATAAGCATCAAGGATGTCATCTATACAGCTCTGAGCATTCACGGTTCCACGTGGGAAGACGTGGAGGTATGTGTGTCCACCCAAAGAGATGCCACCTCAAACACAGACACTGCTTCCTCCGTATGCATCTCTTTCACAGATGTTTGATAGATAATCTCGGGTTCCAGGTTGACTCCAAATCGAATAACTCCTACTATCACTTTGGAGGCTAAATCTGCACTCATCTGTTAAGAGAACAGCCCTTCATTGATCAGCCGTTTAGTGGACATGTTGACGTGCGCACATCAAACGCTCTCTGTTATGACTGGACGGGAAGGCAAGCAAATGGCTGGCAGCCTTCGAGAAGCCTTCTACGCATGGTTGATGTTGACACCAACCTTCCGGGGGAAAATCTGAGTTGAGTCGGAGTTGCGGTTTTATTCCTTCGTGAGGACAACAATAAATATTAGTCATCGGCGCTCATCATAGCGGTTGGCCGCCCTTGACTGAACATCCTGGATGTTGAATCGGTGGTAAGAAATTGTTTCCACAGAACCACAAAAGAACTCACATTTAGCCATCTGGCCCTTTTGTCCTGCCTCTAGTCACCCAATAGCTTCCCATCGCTGTTCTTTGGGCAAATGTTGTCTGGGAGGTCATTGTTACGAATTGTCTCTCCCAGATTTCTTAACTCAGTATCACAGAGAAATCTGAAGGCTTGCCGTCAAACATGCAGTGTTATGCTCTTCGCAGATGATGTATACCGATTGCAGCGCCCCTAATTTCATACTTCAAGTTTACTGAACTCTTACTTCACAACATACTCAAATGTTATTTTTCTTAATTTTTGGAAACCAGCGTAACATAACAGCGTTTTGGGAAACCAGCGTTTTTGGAAACATCATGAGAAATTTCACTGCATGTTTATCATTTCGAATATGAGAATGTTTCAAAAGTTTGGTTCTGCAAAGCCCACGATATCTATCTGTTTAAAGGAAATACTCGCCTCAGGAAAGTAGTGCTATGTACCCATGTCGCTTTGAAGTTCTAGAAAAACTGACCATTTTTAGCCTAGTCACATAAAATAGTTGATCACCATGAGAATTTCATTGTATGTTTTATTTACTTCGAATGTTAAAATGTTTCAAATGTTACATGTTGTAATGTTAAAATGCCTGCAAAGTATATGGTGTTTATCTGTTTAAAGGAAATGCTTCCTTTGTGGAAGTCGTTATCAAGAAAATAGACTCATATTTACCTTATGCGTAAAGAAAACCATAAAAACATCACTACTGCTAGCACCTTCCTCTAAATTACTCTAAAAGAAAATTTCAGAAAAAAAATCATGAGAAACTTTCGAAAAAGAGATGGTTTAAAATAAACCTTTTTATTTAAACATGAACTTTAAACATAAATGCACGTTTTGTCGTGATAACAAAGTCAACCATAATTCGTGGCGATGCAACCAAAATAACTGTCAAATTCAAATTTAATACATAAACTAGTAGTTAAAGACTAGATAATTTAATCTAATATGGCTCAGAACTTCTGACCTACGTGTCAGATTCAAGTGTTGGCAGTGATAAAGCAAAGTCGAAAAATTACAGTCTTATCAAAACTGACAGGAACAAACATAACATGATGCAAAAAGTAGAAACACACTTTATCTTAGAGGCCAAAATCTCAGCTTAAGTACTCTCTAACTGATTTTCATTCTGGTTAGGAAACGGAAAGGAGAAGCGATAGTAAATACTGGCACGAGTGCACGAGATCTCGTCAACAAAATCTAAATGGGGAAGATTTATTGTTCAACTTATTTTAATATATGCACCATTATAAAGATCATTACATGATTTGCACTAGGAGGCATACAAGCGCAATTCCTTATGTTTGGAGTCATGAAATGTTTTCAGCCTTAGCATAAAGGAAACATTTCTTCTTCTATTTCCATTGAAGTGTCTCCTTCCTTAAATCCTTTATCCCTCATTCATTTGATAGTAACCAATGAAAGCGAGGCAATCGAAACTAAAAGCACTTCTGCTTACGTTACTGTAGTTTTTGTTGTTTTGTTATGCTCCAGTTTTCAAATAATCCCCTTTAGACTTTCATCTTAATGGTAGCGATGAAATAAAATTTTAGAATTTACTTCAAATTCCCGTGCTTAAATAAAACTTCTTTCGGTCGTGTTTCTTTGCGAAGCTCTCCGGAGACATCGGAGAGGTCTAGATCACTCAGATCTTTCCTGGTATTCCCTTCTCGAACGTCTTTTGAGGATGTATTTCATACATTGTTTGGACAGTGGATGTAAAATATCTTTCCTTTCTTCTTTTATTACAGGTACAACATCCCGGCTGACCATGTTCGTGGTGGCTAAACTTAGCATATCCTCTTCATCCATAGTGCTGCCTCTGTGGACCAGCGAACTCCTGCCTGTTGTCGTTCGATCCCTGGGCATGAGACTCGTGGATCTCATTGGCTTGGTGGGACCAGCTGCACTGCCCTTTCTTTTTAATCAGGTAACGTGGTATAGGCTAAATACTTTGGCTGACAGAAAACAGTATTTTATCCCTAGCCCTGAAAACATGACCCACAGAAATGAAAGTTTCATTATTTTTCTTTGCCTCTTCGATTATGACGAAGCACACTCAATGGTTTCTCTATTCGGAACTTCTTTATTCCACCCTTCACTAAGTGTTTTATTATTTGCTCACGAAGAATAAAATCCGATAGCTAAAAAGACCCCAAAATCGAAACAGATTGCTCCTTTCTAAATGCATGTAACTGCAAGCAAGTGTACCAGAAAGAGAAACGAAACGACCAAGAACGAGAAACTAGAAATCATTCGGGAAGAGAAACCAAATTATAAAAAGCGTTTCAAGAAGAGTGAAAGTTACATTTTGTATCACTGAGAATCCATTAGTATTATATAAGCATTGTATTATCTGTTTGCGGTGAAGCATACTAACACTATCTGTCTTAGATTAGGGATGAATTTTTGAAGGAGTTTCTAAGGGACCTAAATGGTATTACATTAACTGTATCTCTGTACATGAGAAAACCACTACAACTGCTATGCAGCCACCCTATTCTGTGGGACTGGAAACCAGTGCGAATTACCAGTGTTCAGCTGTCTTACAGCTCGTTCATTCTAAATAAAAAAGGAAGAGGCCACTGTAATCGATTTTATAGAGGTTATGATAATAGATGCAGCAAGGAAACAGTGGTACTGAAATGTTAAGGCTAGATGGAAGCAGAAAAGACAGAGTATCAATAAAGAGTGAAATCAGCTAAAATAGCGAAACCATCCTTAACATGTTGGGATCAATAAGCAGTAGATCAAGAACGGCAGCTTAATCAGCAAGAATGAGTCGATAGATTGAAATGATTCACTGCACAATACACTAATAAAATGCATGAATGTCCGCACTGACAATGCGCACAATCGATATGGCAATATATCAAATACTGATGTAGAGACCACAGACTTATTCTTAAAGTGAATGTTTATCACATTGAAAGGAGACTTAATAGGATGAAAAAGTGTTTTCTTCGCATGAGTTGCTTTCGTTTTTCTTATAATTTAGAAACTTTAAGATTTTATAACTTCGATTTTTAAGCCTTGAATTTTAACCCTTAAGTATACAAGTTTCTTTACGAAACATCGGTACACGCGAGCATTGCATAATTACCCTAGCTATCCTAAAAGTCACAATGTAACAGCATTTCAGATTTGAAATGGCTCTTTTCGCGCTTGCATTAACCTCTTTTGAAAATTTAACCAATTTAATATGGTACCAAGACAAATGTATTGCCAAAATTTCATTACTCTGCATTAATATTTTCTCGGTGTTGGGATTTCTTCCATGATCCAATGCTTTTGGGCTCTTAAGGCTTTTTCGATTTTAATTTATGTTCTCATGTGCATTTTATTCTCTGCAGTAATTACTTACTTTAAACTTTTGTTTTCGTTTTTAGCTTCTGGCGTAGTTTTACTCTAAAATAGTTTTCTTTGCTGGTCGAGAGGAATACCTTGTTTTTATATAAATATACACATTACTAGTGATAAAAATCGATGCATAGTAGATTCATATTTTTTGTACATGTGTGATATAATGGGAGGAAGACTTGATCAAAATTTCAGGTGTTTTGGGGTACACCGTGTACAGAACTTAGATACGGGTGCTTCATTCTGTGCGGCGTTAAATAACCAGAGCTCATCAATAGTAGTGGCTGCCGGTTGATGGTCTCTCGACAATCCATGACCAGATGTATTGATTAGGCAAGAGATCTGGAGAACGTGCTGGCCAGGGTAAAAGTTAAACACCGTTTGTATTTAGGAGGGTAAGAAGAGCACAGGCAATATGTGGTCATGCAGTATCTTGTTGAAACTTGGCGTCACGCATATCTAGAAAAGAGGGCAGAGCTATGGGTCTTAACACATCAGAAATGTAATGGCGACTGTTCCCATTACCGAATATGCGAATGAAAGTTGACCAGGTTATGCACCCAATGACATCTCATACCAGGATGCCAGGGGGTGGTTCGATAACGAATGCAAAAATGGCAACATTCGTTTTCCTGGGAGTCTCCAAATACGGATACGTCCATCACGATGGTGTACACAGAATTGGGATTCATCTAAAAAGACGATGTGGTGCCAGTCTTGTGTCCAGTGTCGTCGTTCGTCGCACCATTGTATGTGTGCCTATCTCTGCTGCAGCGTAAAAGAAAATAGCAGAAATGATCGTTACGCTGAAGGTCTGAAGTATTGCCGAACGTTTTAGCACTATGCGTGTGGCCACTTGTTGTTCTGCATGATAGCCAAGTTCCTGTCTCAAACAGTGATATCTGACAGTGATATTTTCCAATTACACTACCATATGTTAAGAGTTTTGTTGGAAAATTTTACTGATTGATAGAGCGATATATAATGTATTCACTCTTTTACATTATTTTTACAGATTAATCTTTTTCGAGATACAGCACCTTGTACACCAATGCCTGTATGGGGTTATTCTTATATATCTAAAAATCAAATATTTTACTAAACACGTACTCGACACGGAATTTTTAATTTTTAATTTGTTTGTAGTGTTTTAAGTCTTTTTCAGAGCTGGAAAAAGGAAAATTAGAAAGACACATACTGGAATCAGAACTCCGAATCTCTGGAATTACTAGCCACAGGTTGTTTCAAATACAACATGAAAGCACAAGGAAAAGGAGAGTTAAATTCTTTGCGTTCGCCCCCCCTCCACACTTAAAGAATTGCTGAGGAGGGGGGAAAATCACTCACTAAATCCAGATAGTGACGAAATATCGACTAACCATTTTATTTCGGGCTATAAAAAGGAGAAACCTTTTCTTCTGTTCCCATCGAAATATTTCTTCAAGTCATTTTCCGCTTATTAATTTCGTCACAAGTGATCAGGTATTTATAGGAGCAAGAAATACGAAAACTCAACAATGCTCTGTCCGATATTTTCCGATCCGAACATCCTGATTGCCATTTGGTCGCGCTCTCAATTACACCACTATGGCACGCAATAAGGAAGAAGAATATTCCATACATTCTCTATTTAAAGCACGACACGGAAGGCGACAAACCATTTGCCAAATCTAACTAGTGACGAATTATCGCCCATCAAATGTTTTGTTCGCGCGCCACTTGTAGACACATTAGGTGTATTTCGAAACAAGAAATATAAAAAATTACCATTGCCTTCTTCAGGATTCGAACTTTGGACCTCCCTACTGCCAGCCGAACGTACTTCTAATTAGATTTCAAAAGCACGCGATAAGGAAACAGGAGATTTATTATTATTTTGCTTGATGCTATTTTATCTGGAAAACTGTTTACAAAAATTATTAGAAAAAAAAAATATAATTATTTTCAAATAACTGCAGTTTATTATTTCAGCAATTATAAATACTAGCTACAGACACTTCAATAATCATGGCTCTAAAAAAACGTTTCAGTGTGTCATTGATAACAGTATATATGTCACGTATTAAAAATGCAAAACTTCGCTAAGTGCTCAAACATTTGTTTAACTCAATTAACTTTATTTTTCCATGGATGCTACAAAAACAATTTTTTCTCTAACACATTTTGCAGCTTTTTAGATTGGAAGAGTTGGAAGTTAAACAAATTACAATTGATTTAATTATAGATTATAATGCTACTTTAAAACATCACCCGTTTCTCTTCCTCGATAAAAAATTATGTTGGCTACTTTTGCTCTTATGACTTTTCGAATATTTCATTAAAACGACTCGATGATATATTTTTTCAGCTAATTTTAATAGAATCTAATTATTTTAACGATCGTGGACATTTTGTGAACCGTGTTTTTGTGGCTCCAACTTTGGTGCCCTTTCATAACATAACCCCCATGAGTGTGCTTAACAAAGTATAGAGACGGGGAAAAAAATCATCTTTTGATAGCCTTAATTACTCGTCAAAAAACTGTGTATAGAGGAGGGAGAGCAAGTGAATTCCCACCACCCCTCTTAAGTTCCCGGAGATAAAACGGTTAACTGAGCAATTTCTTTTATAATCGCCCCGAGCTGCGTCTCAGACAACATCCCATGTGAGCTAATTCTGCAAATATATTTTTTTTCCATACGGAGTGTCTGATACGAAATATTAATTAAAATATAAGATGTTTTTTACGAGGATTTTGTCTGTTTGTAATGATTAGGTTGGCTGCAACGGCCTCTCGCCGTGGTAACATCAACAGCAGATGTTGGAAGCTTCTCAGATAAAGATTTTCGTACTTTTTTTCTTATTTATAGATTGGTTTTTCTTTCAGAAACAAAAGATGAGTTCTTTTTTCTTCACCGAACTCAAATATTAAATTACTTTTGGCGCAGAATACTGTTTAACGAATTGAATGGATTTTGACTTCAATGCTCCGCTGAAAGTCAGTTCTTCAAATTGTGGTCAAAAGGAAAGTTATTTCACAAATTTTAATTAATTGTACAGTAGAACTTTATTTATGCCAAGTAATTGGGAAAAATAAGATAAAAAAGAAAGCTATTTTGGAGATAATAGTTTTTTTCCGAATAATGCATGATTAGGCTTGTTAGCATAAAAAAGTAAAAGATTTTCTGCCAGTGCTAAGAAATACATTTCATTAAAAATTTTTATTAATCACAAGACATTTGGGAATCTTCACAAAAATTATCAGTTGGATATATTAGAAATTAAATACGTTTTAGAATTAATTCATTGTATACAATTTTTAAAATAAATACAATAGTAATTTAATATATCCGCATATTTTGAATTTTTATTTAAATAATAAGAACTTTTATCTTCCAACCCGAGCTTTTTATAACTAAATAGCGTGCAAAAATGCTACAAACTTTACGGAAGTACAAAACACGACTCCAAAATTTCTCAAATGTTATCTAAACTTACTTGTCTGACTTAATTAGAAGAAAGCCCACGATTGTTTTCGTAACGAGGAGCGTAAGATTGCTTTTGTCCTTGTATGGGTCTTGAGCGTCTTATACTTGATAGTACAACTTTGTTTACCTGCATCTCACTTTTGCAGCAGAATCTTCGATAAACGGATCCGAAAGTCTTCCACCCTTCGCCCTGTACCACCAAATCACTCGAAACATTCTGCTTGCCACATACTTGAGTGCCAAATGCCGCATAGACGCTATGCACTTATGACTAACCATCTCTTCTCCGGGATTCGAACCCAAACCAACGAAAAATGCAATATTCAATATGATATTGAGCGTAAGACATTTCTCCTATTCTTTATTATATCATTTTTACCACAAGAAATAAAATGTTTAGTTAAAGGTATAAAAATCAGACACTCATGAATTTCTGATGATGAATGTAACCTTCTTTCTTCAAGTATACAGCATGAAAAAAAGGTATTTCCCTGATTACACATATGCATCATGAAAGAAATATATATATATATACAAACGTTTTTTTGGTAAATGGATGTAGAGTGGCTCATATCCTGTCAACCTATGTCGCGTCGACTGCATGACTTGGGACTGCACACCCGACGACCTGAGCTTTGTGTTCTTTTGTCCTCATCGCATGTCAGAGCGCAGTTGGAATTGGGCCCATGAACATCGTTTCATACATAGTAGTTACGTTTTCTTTAATGAACGTTTATAAGTTTGAACGTGCAGGTCTTTGAAGTTTGGAGAACATCAGATCAGGGTCCTCCCTATGTTCTTCAATCTCTACTCAGTAACATTTAACACGGTATGTCGTATTCAAATCCGTCAGCGTATATTGCGAGCTGTTATACACTCGTGCTAAAAAATAAGCAAAAACGGTAAAAGAAAAGCTACGAATGTAAAAAGTGGAATTAAAGCATACAATTTACATGTGAACTAGAGGTTGCATTGCCGAATGAAAATAGGCAGCCAAAATTGTCATAACACCAAATCCCACAGTCGTACCTCAACGCCTTAAAAAAAAGAATGCCAGGCCTATGCGTCAATTTGCAAGCAGCGATAGTTCCGTGTATTGGACGCCGAAGGACTACCATAAAAGCAGATGATCTCTTCCTGTTGCTATGTCGAAGATGCCGTATATCACTAACGGCACGAGAGGTGGCGTCGCATCGCTCTGCTCCTGTAAAATGGCTCATATCCTGAAACTATGTCGCGTCGACTGCACATCCGACGACCTGAGCTTTGTGTTCTTTTGTCCCCATCGCATGTTAGAGCGCAATTGAATTGGGCCCATGACCATCGCAGTTGAGGGCCATGTACTCTTTACAGCTGAATCCCAGTTTAACATCCAGAATGATTCCCGACGATCAATGATTTGACGAAAGCCAGGGACATGTTACTCGGGTTCCAAACATCGTCGAGTAAGGCAATTATAGAAGAGGAGGCTTACTTACGTGGACTGATAACAACGAACGGCCACACAACCTTTACATGATTCCTGGTGGTTCCGTCATAACAGTCTGATATCGCGACGAGATTCTACACCCTCT